AACTGGATCAAGTGCTGAATAAATTTGTAAAACAAAGAAAATAGGATCGATTGAATGAAGTTTTTGACACCACAAAAAAAGATAGTGAATTGCTCTGCAGTGGGGACAAAAGATTAAAAGTTTCAGAAAACTTCAGATTAATAGCAAAGGACAGTTCGGGTATACAACTATGAAGACTGCTGGTTCAAAAACTATCCATCCAAAAAAAGATAAATGTCCTTGAAGCCTACTTCAACAACAGTAATTACAACAGCAACAATGTCTACTTCCAAATCCCGGTCTGAGACAGACTATTAAGAGTCTGAAGATTCAGAAGAACAGTCCACAATTACCAGCAAAAACTACAGCAAAGCCAAACCTGCAACCAAATTTGTAACATTTTTAAAGTTATCAAACAACAAAGCAGCAACTATTTGTTGACAGTTATCTCAAAATAGAATCGACATTTAAAAATATTTAGAACAACTATTAAAAGACACTATGAAATGTAACACTGGAAAAATGTAATGGACACTATGAAATGTAACACTGGAAAAATGTAATGGACACTATGAATGTAAGCACTGGAAGAAGGAATGGGATTGTCAGTCAGATACAAAGATGTTTAACTGAAAAGAAACTAAAAGAACCAGAATTCATTGGTTGTCAACATCACGTTCTTGATCAAATCCTTAGCATAATAATGGATAAAGAATTTGGAGAACATGTTGCACAATATCGAATATCTATTTATCCCGCAAAGTATAGTATACAAAGAGCCCAGGGAGAATTTCAATAATGGTAAAGGAGTGAATACTGAAACAACAGGATTGCTTGATAATATAGTTTCTACTTCATTTAACTCAAGTATCCCCTAAAGTAAAGTTTCAGAAAAAATTAAATTTAACAATACCAGTTGGAACCGCCAAACAACACTAGCTCTTTTGGCATTTATTTTTTTACCAGTGAGAAGAGACTCACTCCTCAACATTTGTAGATTCATCTCTTACAGATGGGAAGACCATTGGTTTACTGACCAAATGTGCAATGCCAAAGATTATTGAAAGTAATGTAGCACTTTGCACTGTAAGGAAGCAAAGTGATACATGTTTTCACTGAGTTCAACTACGTTAAACTCAGTGAAAAAATTTTGGAGTCAGGCACCAAGACTGGAAAATCTCAGAACAAATCAGTGTGCAGAACAAGCAACCAAATGCCTTCAAGATCTTTTTGACATATGCAAAAAGAAAGAGAACCTCTAGCTTAGATTTTTTTCAGTCTAAAAAAGCATAAAAACTTTGTACTTAGCTTTAATTAAGCTAAATACTACACAACATTTTTTTGATATACAGTAGCTTTTCGTTCTTGTAGAATTGTTATTTAAGTTTGTAATTTTATATTTACTTGTAATTTAGAGTGTTATGATTTAACAATAAACTATTAAATGCCTTAAAACTACATCTCTAAACTCCCCAATTAGAATTAAAATATAAAAATCATAAAATTATTTGACATTTTATCCATATGCATATATGATAAATTTGAATTTTTGGTTTTCAAGTGACCTTTTTCTAGTGGGTGACCTTATTCTTGTAAGTGACCTTTTTCTTGTGGGTGACATTTTTCAACAAGAAAATCGAATGTTTGATTAATGTTTTTTTCATTACTTTTGTACAAATACTTATTGATTTATGACCCAGCAGTATGCGTCAATATATATATATATATATATATATATATATATATTTATGTATATATATATATATATATATATTTATGTATATATATATATATATATATATATACTTATATATATATATATATATATATATATATATATATATATATATATATATATATATATATATATATATATATATATATATATATATATATATATATATATATATATATATATTAGGGTACATCACTTAAAACAAAAATGAGCAAAGAAACTTCTAGCATCAATATTTTAGTGCCAAAATATATAATAAATAAAAAATCAAAAAAAAAAAATTTGAAAAATTGTTTTTTTACCTGCTGGAGAACTCGTTTTTTTAGGAAGTTGTCAGATTGTAAAAATTCACAAATTTAAAAAAGTAATCTCAGTAAGTTTAGTTTAATTTTGATGTTCTTTGTTTCTAACAAATGGTTAAAAAATGGTAACATGATTGGCATTGAAAAATTAAGATTATATCAGGGCTGATGATGCCAGAGGATCTGGGGGTCACGTGTACCTCCCCCCCCCCCCCTCACATACACACACTTTTTCTAAAAAGGACTTTTTTTTAAAAAATAAAGGTTTTGAAGTTTTTAAATATGGAGGACCTTTTTTTAGTAATTGATGATTGTGCCCCCCCCCCCCAACTTTGAAAACCGCATTGTCGCCCCTGTATATTTAGAAATGCAAAGTTTTGAAAAGTTGTAGGTTATTTTTAAATAGTTATTTTCTACATTTATTGCATTGTACAGAAGTGTACATTATTGTCTATGTTTAATACATTAGTAGAAAAGTGTACTTTGCATACAATGTACATAATGCACACTTCTGTACTATGTACTCTTTTAAATGTACTCTAGAAAGAATACAGTACATCACATTTTTAAATATTTTTATATTTAAACATGTTTTCATTTATTCATACTAACAATTAATAAAACTGAAAGAAATTACTTCTGCACGGTGCATTTATGTACCTCATACATGAATACATGGTACAAAAGTACAATTGGTCGATTTCTAGTTTTGTTAATTGCTAGTATTTATTTAATATTAAAAAGGAAGAATGAGTGTTTCTAAAATAACTCAGATTAATAATATAATAAAAATTAATTAAAATTTAAAACTTAAATCTAAAAGATTCAATTTAATTAAAAAGTGCCTACTATTAGAGATATCCTGAGAAAGGGTCTTTTAATACAAGAATGTTTGCTTGTTGAAAAAAATATTGACAAGTATGTAATGAAAAGTCACACATTTACTCACTAAGCCAAACCTTTTATTATTTATTTTATTTTTAAGAAGGCTGAAATTAAATTAGATCTATTGCTTGACATTACATCTTGTAAATGTGAAATTACTTTATGTAATGAAAAGTGCTCAAAATTAAATAGTTGTCTAGATTTTGCATGTATTCAGTGTACCTGTCTGAGGGAAAAAAAGATTCCAAAAAGTGAAAGGAAAAGTGAAGTGAAAGAAAAGGAAAAAAAGATTCCAAAAAGTGAACTTATTTGGTTAAAAGCTAAAGGAGAAAAAACTGCGTCACTATCAAAATATCAAATGACTTGTAAAGATACAAAGGAAACAGCTAGACAGGTTTATTTAGAAAAGAGGAAGCTTAAAAGAAAGTCAAGTCTAGAAAAAAAAAAATTAGAAAAAAAAAAGGAAGAAACTTCATAGAATAAAGATCTTGTTGAGTCTTTTATAAGTGGTTATAATTCAAATAGAATAGAAATGGACAATGAACCTGCTTCAACTGATAACTGGAACCTAAATTTTATGTCTATTAGTAATAGTGCTGAAGCTTCTTTAAAATTTGATATTTCACCAGCTGCAACATTAGCCGCTTTTTCTTCAAGACCTTATTCTATGTAACTTTTTAATACTTGAAAAGTCCTATTTGGCTGTAGATCCTAAGAAAGTTGTTAGAGCTTGGAAAGCAATCATGACTAAAGCAAAGACATCTGAAGAAATGAAGATTCAATTACAACCTATCAAAGGTATATTTGCTGATGACAGAAAAATGTTTTACCAGACTTTTAAAGTACAACCCTGTAACAAACAATTCAATCTAAGGTGAAAGAAGAACACATTAGTCTTACTTCTGAACCTGACAGTCACTATATTACACATTTTACACCCATGAAGGCAACGCATCTCAATAAGCCTGTTAAACGAGCAGCTATTGGACTATTTAATTGGATGGTTTCTCATGGACATAAAATTCTAGAAGTAATAGCAGAAGATTCAACAAATGCAACAAATGCAACAGGGAAAGAAGGAAAGAAAGGAGTTTGTTGACAAAAGAGGTTTGTTGACAAATCTTGAAAAATTGTTAGGTAGAAAGTGTTTCTAGTGTATTTGTATGCTACATTGCAATGAACTTCCTTTGAGGCACATTATTATCTCAGTGGACCCACAATTTCAAAGGTTGGTTTCACTGAACCAGTGAATAGTAAGGAAAGACTTGATAGATTTAAACCTATTGTGTAGTTTGAACCATTAATCCAGATCCCTATGAAATTCTAAGTTCAATGTCAACAGATTCATCTCTCTGCTATAAACTGATTACATGTTTGACTTCAGGCAATATGGACCCAAGGTTTGTCATTAAAGCCATCAAAGAGGTACAGAAAGGTTAGGGATATGCAGACACTTGATTCAGGCCAAGGAAGAAGGTCCAACTCAATCTGGGAGCTATATCCATACATAAACTGATACACTCTGACAAAGAAGATAAATCAGATCCTGTATTTACTTGTCAAATTTCTACAAAAGATCTTGACAATTTTTTAGAGACCTTTTGAAGCATCTTACTTTAATCCTATACACATAGTCTTGTGAAAGAGCGGTAAAAGAGGTGACAGATGCATCTGCATCTGTTTGTGGATTCGAGAGAAGAGATGGATTTGTTAGGGCCAGAATGGCTCATAGACTATTAATGCCTAAACTGCACTGTAAAAAAGATTTAAGAAACATTTGTTATAAAGACACTTGAACTTGATTATTTATACTGTAAATATATGTTTGAACATAAATATGTAACTTTGCCAAACAAATAGTTAATCTTAGTAGTAAGAGATTGCCGATTCTGAGCCATTTTTATTTTCAACCTTATTTTCAACCATAAATTAATATTAATATTGGGTTAACATTGAGCCATATTGTGTATAAATTATTTCAACAAGAAATAATTTTTTATTTTAAAAAATTGATTTTTTAAAATAAGTGTTAATTTTTATTTCTTGTTATGAAATATGACGAAAAATTCTTGCATAACGTCACGTGACTTTCTTGCTTCTTATTTATGCCCTAATTCATGTAAATATTTAATTACTTCAAGGTGACCATTTTCTTTTGCAATATAAATTGTCCATTTGTCACATTTATACCCTAATTCATATAAATATTTTAACATTTCAAGGTGACCATTTTCTGCAGCAGAATAAAATACACATTTGTCACATTTATACCCAAATTCATACAAATATTTTAATATTTCAAGATAACCATTTTCAGCAGCTTTATCTATTGCATCTTTTGTTCCTTTATACCCTAATTCATGTAAATATTTTAACATTTCAAGGTGACCATTTCGAGCAGCTTTATCTATTGCATCTTCTGTACCTTTATATCCTAATTCATGTAAATATTTTAATATTTCAAGGTGACCATTTTTAGCAACACAATCAATTGTCCAATCATAACATTCATACCCTAATTCATGTAAATATTTTAATATTTCAAAGTGGTTATTTATAGCAGCATAACTAATTGCTAATTTATCAACTTTATATCCAATTTCAAGTAAATATTTTACTACTTCAAAGTGACCGTTTATAGTAGCAGAACTAATTGCACATTTTTCATATTTATACTTAAATTTATATAATTGTTGCTCTAATTCAAAGTCATAATTTTCAGTAGCATAATTAATTGCTAATTCTTCATAATAATACTTTAATTTATGCAAATATTTTACTTGTTCAAGGTTACCATTTTCTATAGCGTGATTAATTGCTTTTAATATTTTAATAACATTTTTTTTTTTTTTTTTTCTCCGTCTTCCATTCTTTTTTATATAAGAAAATTATTTAACTTATTTTTCATTTTTTTTTATTTTTTAATGCGCTTATGCGTAGTAGTGAAGCATTGCTTAACTTTATCACTACTAGAATTTATAGTCACTAAGTGCATCAAAATTATAAAATATATCCTTTTTTAACAGCTAAATTATTTACCCATTCTGCACCTTTATACCCTAATTCATGTAAATATTTTAACATTTCAAGATTTCCATTTTCTGCAGCTTTTTCAAAAGCACAATTAAATGCATACTCCGTACCATTATACCTCAATTCATGAAAATATTTAATTACTTCAAGATTTCCGCTTTCAATAGCAGAATCAAATGTATTTTCTGTACCTTTATACCCTAATTCATACAAGTATTTAATTACTTCAAGATTTCCGCTTTTAACAACACAATTAAATTCATATTTTGAAGCTTTATACCCTAATTCATGTAAATATTTTAATATTTCGAGGTTGCTATTTTCAGCAGCTTTTTCAAAAGCACAATTAAATTCATATTTTGAAGCTTTATACCCTAATTCATGCAAGTATTTTAATATTTCAAAATCTCTATTTTTAGCAGCATTTTCAAAAGCTATATTAAAATAATAATCTGAACATTTATATCCTAATTCACGTAAATATTTTAATATTTCAAGATATCCATTTTTAGCAGCATTTTCAAAAGCTATATTAAAATAATAATCTGAACATTTATACCCTAATTCATGTAAATGTTTAATAATTTCAAGATTTCCATTTTCAGCAGCATTTTCAAAAGCTATATTAAATTCATAATCTGAACATTTATACCCTAATTCATGTAAATGTTTAATAATTTCAAGATTTCCATTTTCAGCAGCATTTTCAAAAGCATCATTTGTACTTTTATACCCTAATTCATGTACATATTTTAATATTTCTTCATCATCTTCATCATCTTCATCTTCTTCATCTTCTTCATCATCTTCATCTTCATCTTCATCATCTTCATTAACATATTCAGTAGTTTCTGTAATTTCAGTAACTTCAGTAGTAGTAACTGTAGTAACTTCAGAATCTTCAATCATTTCAATATCATGAATATTAATAATATTTAATTTTTCTTCAATTAATCTTAATCTTTCATCTATTGATCTTAAAAATAAATTTTGCATTTCGTTTTCCATTCTTTTTATTATGTAAAGAAAATTATTTAACTCATTTTTAATTTTTTGATTTAAAATATTTTTACAATTAATAAAAAATAAAAAATGAATGATGAAATTAATGAAATATCTGAATTTCAAAAAGAATTTAAACTTTTTGAAGAATTATTAAAATTTGAATTTGAAGAATCAGATTCTGAAGATGACACTTATTATACATCTGATGAAGCTACTTATTTTACATCTGATGATGAAGATGAAGTTAAAGAAAAACCTATAGTTCCAATTCCTTTAAAAACAGTTCAAATCATGGAACTGCATAAAGATAAGCTGAAATGGATTAATTATGTTCCAACTTATAATGTTATTAATGATGATTATCCTGCTATAGATAATACTTCTTTTAAAAAACATTACAAAAAAAGAAAATTTAGTTTTGAAAAACCATTTAATGTAGATATTAATTTTACTGAAGATGGAAAACCTTCAACAATTCATTTTGTAGAGAAACTACCCATTTTCTGTAAAAATATTTTAAATGATAATTATTGTCCTTTTGGAAGAAAATGTAAATACAATCATGATATTCCTTATTGTAATACTGTAAAGGAAAGACTAATATGCACTAAATCTTCATGTCAATATAGACATTTATCTCTATGTTCTGAATACCCTAAATGTAAGAATAAAAAGTGTAGATTGTTTCATCCAAAAAAGTCAGAATTATTTAAATTAAGAAAAGCAAAGACTAAATTATGTAAATATATTCTTGATAAAAAAGAATGTAAAAATATAAATTGCAAATATGCTCATTCTTTTAAAGAAATTGAAGAAAATGTAGAAATTTGTCATTATACTCCATGTAAATTAGTAGAGAGTAAATTAAAGAAAAATAAAAAAGGAGAAAAAATATTAATATATAAAAATGTTAATGATAATAAAAAGTGTAATTTTTTACATCAAGGTGAAAGCATTTTAAATTATATTGCTAGAACTTTAAAAACAAAATAGATATGAGGATTACAGAGTGATTTAAAAAAATCTTAACATTTATAAAATGTATAATAGTAGAATGTTTTTATATTATGAAAAGCATGAACAATATAGAATAACTTTTAATATTAATTCAGATTTAGAACATAGAGCAATAAATGATAGACATATTAAAGTATTCGCACAAGAAGATTTTACAGTAAAATCAAATTCATATGAAAACATTTCTTTAATGTGTGGAGTTGAAATAGATAAAGGACATGTAATGATTTCACTTGCAGAAAATTATAAACCATCACTAAATTTACTAAATTCTGTTGTAATAGAGTCTACTGATGATATTAAAATAACTTTATATAATTACGATAAAAAAGATATAAACATAAAAAAAGGAGATTTGTTATGTTGTATATCAACTTATAATGGTGTTTTAAATGCAAATTATATATCACATAGAGATGCTTTAGAACATGTTAAAGAAGAACAAATTAGACAACAAAATGACTCAGGAACTAAACAGAAAAGTGATAAAGAATCTGTAAAATCTTTATTATCAAGTATAGAAGAAGTAATTAAAGATAAACCTAGTATAGATAAATCTGATGAAGATATATTTAATTTTGGTAAAAAGTGATTTAGCGAAGCATTGATAACAAAAGTGATTTAAAACAAATTTTTCTTTATAGAAAAAAGAAATGCTATGTAATAATGGATATAATAATGAATGTAAGCAGCTTTATCCAGATCTTAACCAGTTTTCAGAAAATCCATCTGCACCACCACAATCTATAGATCATAACTTTAGATTACAAAAGATTAGTGAAATTCAAGATAAAATAGAATGTGAAAGAATTAGAAGAGAGATTTTAAGTAAAAAATATCATAGAGCTGTAAGAATCATTTCAGCAGTTGATAATACATTACTAGCAAGCACTATGACACTTGGAGCTGTTGGTATTGGTTTTTTAACAACAATAGTTGGTACACCAGTAGCTATTGCATGTGAAGGTGCAGCATTAGGTATGGGTGTATTATCATTAATAGGATCACAAGCTATTAAAAAATTAACAATAAAAGCAGAAAAGCATGAAAAGATTAAAGTACTAGCTGATGCAAAACTAAATACAATAAGTAGTCTTATTTCTAAAGCTACATCAGATCAATATATTGATGATGTAGAATTTAATATGATACTTTCAGAACTTGAAAAGTTTCAAACTATGACTGAACAAATTAGAACAAAATCTAAGAATGATATAGATGAACAGACTAAAGAGTCAATATTTAACAAAGGAATAGAAAAAGGCAAAAGTGATGTCATTGAAGTGTTAAATATGAGATTTAACAAAAATCAGAATATAGGAGTGATGAATAATACTCTTAAGAATTAAATAAAAAAAACATATATTATGTATTTACTTGAACATATATTATGTATTACTAACATAATATATGTTGATTTTAATCCCTTTAGGGATCTAGGGATCACATTGTGATTTAAAAAAATTATTACATATATAAAAATGTATGCAAAAGCTACAGATATTGATGCAAGATTAAAAATAGCAAAAGAACTTGCTAGTTTAAAGAAAAGTATATATCAAGATGATGTAAATGAAAAGTTGGGCTATGATACTTTACAGACTAACTTGGAAAAGTTGTACAAACCAATAATTGATAGTCAATCTGGAATAAAAGAAGTTATATCTAAATTAGAAAATAAAGCTGATCAAATAGCAAATACTTTTTCAAATTATCCTGCTTTACTAGATTCTGAAACTAAAGCAATCATGCCACCTGAAGTTGTAGATAACATGAGATTAGGACCTATCGCAGCAGAATATCTAAAGTTATATACTGCTAAAAATAGTAAAAAAGTATCAGATGATATATTTGGTATACATTACAATGAAAGTGATAAAAAATTTTACATTGGTAAAAAACCAATAACTATTGAAGGTGATGATATAACCATTGAAGGTAAAAAATACATTGGTACACCAGGTCTTTGGGAGATTATAGTAAAATCTCATCCTGTTAGATATACTAACGATGACCATAATAAGTATAAAGAAATTTTAAATCAAACAGATGCAATTCGCTCTGATTTAAATTTAGCTAAACCAAAATCATCTAGAGGTTATAAGTACACTAATGTAATAAAACCTATTTGGGAAGAGATGATTGGAAAGTCTGGAAAAGGAGTTGTTATTCTTCCTAGTGATCCAAATGCACTATTTGATATGCTTAAATTACGCTTAGCTGGTTTACAAGCAGGAAATACTGGAACAAGAAATGAGATTGTTGCTATTTGTGATGAGTTGTTACGACAGGGGCAAATAGATGATGATGAGTATAAAGCATTACAGAAAGCAATAATCACAAAGTGATTTAAAAAATTATTTTATATATAAAAAATGACAAAATACTATGATACTCTTATCAATCTTTCAGATACTCAGAAAGAAAAAATTAAAAAAGCAATTGAATCTGATACTAATGCTAGTATAAAACTATCATATGAAGATTTAAATGGTGAACACAAATTAGCTTTAACAGAGTCACAAATAAACAGAATGAGAGCAGCCTATTCAAAAAATAAGGGTATAACACTTTCACTGAGTAGAGCACAACTTAAACATAATATTAAAAAAAGTGGTGGATTTTTACCTTTTCTAGCATTAATTGGAGCAACTCTTGCAAAAGCTGCTGCAGCAGCAGCTCCAGCTGTTGCAACAGGATTATTGACTGGAACAGCTGCAGCTGCTGGAAATGCTATAGTTAATAAAATTGCTGGAAATGGTATTATTTATGGAAAAAAGAATGGTTATGGATTTAAAATTAGAAAAGTAGGAAAAGGTGTATTTTTAAACCCATGGAATAGTGGTTATAATCATTTAGACGGATATTATTCTAAAAATGGAAATGATTATTCATCAGTAGGTAAAGGTTTGTTATTAGGAGAAAATTCACCATTTAAGAATATCCCATTATTAAATTTGTTTCTTTAGATCACTTCGTGATCCAGGCTTCACTAAGTTCTGAAAGAACCAATGCTTCATAAAAATATATATTTTTTAAAAAATATATATTTATTGTTTCCACAAAGAAGTTGGATAATAAAATAAATCTAATCCACTTCTATACTTTCCATTTAATAAATCAGAAGACAAATCTATAGCAACAAATCCATGCTTTTTTGACCAAGCTTCATTACAAAACTTTTTAAACTCATCTAATTTCATATCATTTGAAACATGATCATTATAAATATGGTTTACATTTTTAGAATCTTGTTTAAACAAGCATATAAAATTTGCATTTTCTCTTATCGTTCTCCTAGGCAACTCAAAATAATTTTGTGCCAAGTAGAAACAATCTACATTGCTATGTCTTCCTCTTATATAGTACTTTTCACACTTGTTTTGTTTTGTTAATTGTAAATCATCAAATATCATTAAATTATTTTTAATAGAGTTGAGACTTTCAGGTTCTGGTACATCCTCTGCTGTTTCAAAAAATTTACACTCTATATCTGTTTTATCTTTTAAATTTCTTGAAATGTCTTTAATAACAAACTCTGGATTTACATTGTTTTTATTTATTTGATCTTGCAACTCAAATAGTTTAAGAATAACTTCTTTTGGTAATTTATTTTCAAAAGAATTTTTTAATATTTTGTATTCAGGTTGAAAAAGAGATTTTCCAAAAACTTGTAAATTATTATAGTCTAACCAACCAGGTCTTAATAGCAAGTTTAATAATAATGTTGTTTTTCCACAACCTGATTTTCCAACAATAATCCCTCTTATACTTTTAGGCAATAACTCATTATTTTGACGTTTACTTTTATTCACATTCCATGATAAATCTATAATTTCCATTTTTTATTTACGAAAAGTATTTTTTAAATTAAATAAATTAAAATACATATATAAAAAATGTATTGCGTTAAATGTAAAAACAAAACAGATACACTCAACTTACAACATGCTGTGAGTAAAAACAAAAGAAATATGCAATGTGGAAATTGTGCAATCTGCGGAACAAGAAAATGTCAATTTACAAAAGGAGCACAAAAAGGAGGTGATTTAGTAGAATCTATTAATAAATTTACAAGTAATAGAAAATTACCATTGCAAAAGTTTCCAGGTGAAATGCATATACCAGGTATGAACTTTGCAGGACCTGGTACTAATTTAGATGAAAGATTAACTTCTACTGAGATGCCTAAAGAATGGAGTATGCCTGTAGATAGAGTTGATAAAACAGCTTATATTCATGATCTTGCTTATAAACATTTTACAGATAAAGAGAATAGAAATTTAGCTGATAAAATAATGCTTGAACAAATGGATGCTATACCTAATCCTACACCTCGTGAAAAATTAGAAAGAAAGATTATAAAACCTATCATATCTGCTAAAGTAAGGTTTGGTATGGGAAATAAAGAACCAATAAGTATTAAAGAATTATGTCAAAAAAACTGCAAGCGCAGAGGAAAAAAAGCAAAAACATGAAATGG